TTTAGGGTTTAGGGTTAGAAGCCCTAAAGCAACAGCCATAAAGCCCGAAGCCCTATAAACCCTAAAGCCCCCTAACCCTAAATCTCCAAACCCCGAAGTCCTAAACCCTAAACCCCTATAAGCCCTAAATCCCTGAACCTTAAAGCCCCACACCCTAAAGCCCTAAACCCTAAACCCTAAACGAAGTTTCCTCTAAACCCTAAATCCTTATAAGCCCTATAAAGCCTCAAATCCCAAAAGGCTTATTATACCCTAAACCCTAAAGCCCTAAACCCAAAGCCCTATATGCCCTAAAACCCTAAATCCCTACAAGCCCTAAAACCCTAAACCCTAAACCCCTATAAGCCCTAAAGCCCTAAACCCTAAACCCTAAACCCTATAACCCTGAACCCCAGACCCTAGAACCTGGACCCTAAAGCCCTAAACCCTAAACCCTAAACCCTAAACGCTAAACCCTGTACGAAGTTTCCTGACTCCGAGCCCAGGCATGCTCCTGGGGCCGGGCTCCCGAGCAGTTTCTCTTAAGGACCTGGGGGATAAATCCTTGGGGTTTAGGGGTTTAGGGCTTAGGGCTTTGGGTTTTGGGTTTAGCGTTTCGGGCTTAGGGTTTAGGGTTTAGGGCTTGGGGTTTAGGATTTAGGGCCTAAATAATTACCAATACACTTTTTTGTGGGGCTCCTTATTGTAGTTATGGTATGATGGGTTTCAAAACCCCATTGTTTGTGTTGTTAAGGACCTAGGGTTTCGGTCTGTTGGGTTTAGTGCTTCGGGTTGGGCTTTAGTGTTTAGGGTTTACGGCGTAAGATTCAGGGTTTAGGGTTTAGGGTTGTTTTCTTTTTTTGCGTTGGTGCGGATGCTGGGTTCAGGAGATAGCAAGTTCAAACGATTGTCGTCTGGTGCTTCAAAAGGTCCTGATTCAGCCTGCTCCGGGGCATTCCTTTCTAGAAGTAGGGCCAGGGTTGTTATTCGGGTCACTGTTCGTGGGCCCTTATGAAGGTTCATCTTTGAGCAAAAGTATCCGGGTACACGGGGCTTCTATGAAGGTGCGATGAGGGATCGGTGGTTCTTTATATGGTAGTTCTTTAAAGTAGGCCCTCCCTGTTTTGGCTCCAAACATAGTACGGCACCCTTGAGGCAGCTACCCAAATTCAAACTTATAGTACCCTTATAGAAACCCTAGAGTTCGAAATCCTTAAAGATCCCTCTAAGGAATTAAAAAGGGACCCTGGGCCCAGATGAAGCTTCTGTAAGGTTTCTGAAGCTAGAAGCCCACGACCTGCAGACCAGCACCTCAAATTCGCACAGGGCTTTATCCTACTGTTGATGATATAAATCCTGCATTACCTTAATTAAGGACCCTAAGTTATGATGATAAAAATCCTGCATTACCTTAAGGACCCTAAGTTATGGACATTCTGGTACATTCCTGCTTATGGGTACTGCAGGATTTCTATCATCAGGCGTAAGCCTGGGGCCGCTTCACCTTGGGACACTCTGAACTTCCGCAACCTCGAAATCCTACACCTCGGCCTCCCTAGCCCTACCCATAGGCCCCGTAGTAGTTCCTTTTTGGGGGTTCATGTTTAGAATCCTTTTAGGTAACCCCAAAAAAGTAACTACCATGGGGCCTATGGGTACTATAGGAGCCTAAATTAATTCCAATATCACTGCTCGGGTGCCTGATTATAATGATACGTGGGTGCCTTATTATAACTTATTATAAGAATACTTTAAAGGAGCCCAAAAGCCTATTCTAATCATTAAGGCCCGTATATTCCACCTAATCCCTAGACCCTATCAGTTGGAGAGACACTCGAGGTCCAAACATCGCGGCCCCAGCAAACCCTAAAACCTGAACCCGAGAACCGTAAACCCTAAAACCCTAATGCTCTAAACCCAAAGGCCCTAAATGCTCAAACCCTAAACCCTAAAGCCCTAAACCTTAAGCAAACCCAAGAGCGTCTCATACCCAGACGTGCGCCCCCGAATTCACTTCCACCTTGAAAGCCCATACTGCACACCCGAAATGCCTCCTAAATTCCCAGAATTCCGTCCCAAAGCCTACAACACCACCTCCACAAACAAAAATCATAACTTCACCACCAAGAAGCCCATGAGGTTGGAGAGACATGAACTCCTGGAGGTCTTTGAGAGTGAGCAGACGTTGCAGTCGAAGGCCCCGAGATCAAATGGGTCTTGAACGGTGCCTCATAAGTTGCTTCGGGCGCTGTAGGGTTTAGGGTTTAGCGTTTTAGGTTTTAGGGGCTTAGGGGTTTTAGGGTTGGGATTTTGGGGAGTGGGGTGTAGGGTTTAGGTTGTGGTAATTTGCCTTATGCTTGAGGCTTCTTTTGTACACCGTGTTGGTTCCTTAAGTATAGGGGTTTGGGGATTATGGGCTTCGGGCGTTAGGGCTGAGGGCTTATTCAGTTCAGGCTGAAGGCTTTAGAGCTTCATGGTGGTTAACCTCCCGGCTGAATGGGCTAAACCCTCTGCCTGAAGAGTTTTAGGATTTCTAGGTCTAGACTTGTGAACTTGCGGCCTAGGGCAGAGTGGGTTTGGAAGCTGAGCTGTAGCCTCACGAAGTCCGCTTCAAAATACGGGTGGACCCATCCTGTGTACCTGGAGGGTGCCGTTTGAATTTCTTATGGGGAACATTTGGATCCGTTCGCGACACCTTATCTCGGAAAGCCAAGGAAAAGTTGCTCCACCAGGGTATGTACTTAATGGTCATACAACCTAAGCATATACATTACTAACTAATTACAGCTGCTGATTTCCTAAGCCATCCTAAACCCAAGTAACTGATTGTAGCCACGATTGACTTACTTGTCCCAGTGGAGGTCGAGGAGGCTCGCCGAATCATCCTCTTGCACGTCGACGAAGTGGCTCCTCCCTGCACTGCAGCTGACTCATGGCTGCAATATGAAAGGTAACTGATCCTACTACGATGTAAGTACAGATATGGCGGATACCTACACGACACCCCTACTTTCTAAACCGATCCGGGTATTGACAGCTTGTTGAAACTACAACTGCTTACGTCTGAGCTATGCTGAACCCAAAGCACTCAGTTTGAAAGCCCTAAAGCATCCTTACTCAACAGCCCCAAGCTGAAAAGCAACATGGAGACCTACGCCTTTAACCCGATACCCCTAAACCTCTAAACCCACACCCGTAAACCCCTAAACCCTGCACCTTATAGGGTTTAGGGTTTAGGGCTTAAATCCTAATCGTCAATTGGAGACCAGAGCTCAAGGAACTAGCGGAACAACCGCCGGAGCTGCAAAAGCAATTTCTCGGGGAAAGGCTGGCGGGGTCAAGTCTCCACAAGACCAGAGAATGTAGGGTTTCGGATTTAGGGTTTAGGGTGTAGGCAAGTAATTTCATCCTCTTATCATAATAATATAGTGCTGAATCATTGAATTATGCTAAGTCCGTTTCAGGAAATGGAGTTGTAAACAGGAGATTCTTAACGGGTTCATTGTGCTTTTGGGGTACAGTCCCTCGGTTTCGGAAGAAGGTGTTTGCAAGCGGTGTAGGGCTCTAGGTCTCTGTAGCTGATTTGACTACCTTGAGATTTTGTTCTCCCTGCTTGACAGATTCGCCAGGGAACGAATTGTAGAGGTTCCGCTGAGGTTCATAGGTTTGTTTGGGTTCGAGGTTCAGGGCTCTAGAGCTCGTGGGCTGATTTGTGTTTCTTGTTTCTGTTGCCTACCTAAACCCCCAAAAGGTAAGTAAAATAATGGCCCGAGACCCAGAAAAGGCGATTATTCTACATACTTTTGGGGTCCAGGTAGTCTTTCGCTTCATGCGCCTGGATCTGTGCCAGGGATCGCAGCTACAGTTCCGGCCCGACTGTCGGTCCCCTAACACCCCGCACCCTCCCCCGAACTACGAAGCCTAAAGTGTTCAAGAGGCGAAATGCATGGGCCTAAATAATGACCCATACTATTTTTTTTGGGGGGGGGTTCCTTATTATTATTAAAGTATAATGGGCCCCCAAACCCTGTTCTAATTGTTAAGGCCCCTTTGATAATGTAGACTTTTGTCAAACATTTATTTGTTGGTGCCACAGCCACGTCCCAAGAATCGAAAAACAACACCGCCAAAACCCTAACACCCTAAACCCTAACACCCTAACACCCTAACACCCTAACACCCTAAACCCTAAACCCTATAAACCCCAAAACCCCAAACCCTAAACCCTAAACCCTAAACACCAAAACCCTAAACCCTAAACCCCAAACCCCTAAACTCTAAACCCTAAACCCTAAACCCTAAACCCTAAAACCCAGGCATGAATGTT